TCCTTCCGAGGAGTGGCTGGTGGGTTTGAACCGCCAGCCTTCTGGTTAGTAGTTAAGTGCCTTAGACACTATGCTACCAGAGCTCCTATACACACACACACACACACACACACACACACATGAACACCAGAAATACCAAACCCACTGCCATCTAGTCGATTCTGACTCATAGTGACCCCCATTGGGTTTCCAAGGGGGGTATCACTATGGAAGTAGATTGCCCAATCTTCCTTCCGAGGAGAGGCTGGTGAGTCTGAACCACCAACCTTCTGGTTAGCAGTCAGATGCCTTAGGCACTGCACCACCAGATATATATATATATATATATATATATATATATATGAACTTTCATTGTGGTTTGGGTAGAAGTTCAGAGAGCAGATTAGTTTTCCATTCAACAATTTATACACACTCTGTTTTGTGACACTGTTTTGTCATTGTTTTTAATTATTGAGAGATTGAATGTTATTTTAAAAATTTATACCAACACGCTTTGTCCTCCTAGGAACTATCTTAGGGAGCTTTGGTAGCATAGTGCCTAAGGCACTTGACTGCTAACCAGAAGGCTGGTGGTTCAAACCCACCAGCCACTCCTCAGAAGGAAGTTTGGGCAATCTATTTCTGTAGTGATACTGCCTTGGCTATGAGTTGGATCCAGCTCCACAGCACATAACAACAATAACAACAAGGAACTACCTTGTTCTTTAGCCTTTTTCTTCTTTGAGATGTATTAGAACCTTTCAAAGTCTTCTTCTTGGTTTGATGCACTCAGAAAATCTTAAAATCTGATTTTTGCCATCATTTTCAGCTTTGACAAATAATTTTATTTAAGACAGAAAAAGATTATAAAATTGCACTGAATATATACTTTAACCAAATACTTAACTAGTACCTATTCAGCTAACACTGTTTAGTTAAAAGTACATATTACCAATTTCAGAGTGAAAAGGTAACCAATTTAATCAACCTCCCCCTGATATGTGTTGATTTTCTTGCTTTACATTTTGCCTAAATGTATTATAAATGCCAGGTACAGAACCCAAAATCATGGCTAGTTTAAAAATGTATTACCTTGGGAGTAAGTATGTGAATGAGTTGGGCACTGGCATCTAAGGAAAAGAAAGAAAGAAAGAAAGAAAAATGTTGAGTGAGACTAAGAAAAGCAAAAGGTAAGAAGCTTTTAAGTAATTCTAGTCCTAAAATGCCATGACAGGAGTAATTATTGGCATATACTGTACAGTAGAAAAAATAGGAGTCTGAGATGGACACAAAGTTGATTCCAGAGTCTTCCCAGGTCCCTGATGGTGCAAAGCATTTGCTCCGGACTGCTGGACTGCTAACTGAAAGGCTGGCATTTGAACCCACCAAGCTGCACTGCCCATCTCCTTTAGTAAAGATTACAGCCAAGAAAACCTTATGGACGTCACTCAGCTCTACTCTGTTACACATGTGGTCTCCATGAGTTGGAGTCCATGCCATGTCAACCAGGGTAGACTTTCTAGCATTTTCTGTAAGATCATTTTCTGACAAATTCATTTATCAAATGCCTGTGAGGAACTGGGATAAGCACTCTGGGGATACAGTAAGTGTAAAATGGGGTCTCTTTTCTTCATGGGTCCTACCCCTTAGTTAGGAGCTTAGCCCAAATTCGCCCAAGTCCCTCCTTCCCACAGTCTCATTCTGTTCCCCACTGCTGGAACTTTCCTTGTATTTCCCCAGTGTCTTTAAGGTGTTTTTCTTCAAAAGGACTGTGGCCACATCTCTCCAGGAGAGCCTCCACTTGACCTGCAACCCTGCCTAGTCACCCCCTCCAGCTCCATCCTGTCTTGCACCATCCTCCCTTCCCAGGTTGTTGATGCTCGCTGCTGCTTGAATGCACTCATACCTGTAACACTCACAAAATTCCATCCTCGTCTCATTCCCAGGCTGCTTGCTACAGAAGCCCCGTTCCTCTTTTATGAAATTCTCAGCTTCTGTATCCCCTCCTCATCCTGGCTGTCTCCTGTTTCTTTGACAGTCCCTTCTCTGGCTTCTCTTTCTCCTCCTGCTTCCGATCTGACTGAAGGTAGGAAATGGGCATCATGTTCCTATTTATTCCCACTGGGGACTTGTCACAGTGGAGTCTCGATAGATACTTGTGTGCATAACACCCTACCCCACCCCAATGATATCTGAAATTAAAACATCCAAGGTGGAAGAAGGAAAAGACTGGGACCAGTGGCATCACCAGGGTTGGTGTCACTGGGGTTACCCAGGGCAGTAACTCATGGTGTCATTCTTCCCCCACAGCCCTCCTCCCGTACCAGACCATAAGGAATTCTTAGTAATGTTGATTATGAATTTTAATCACAGAATAATACATGATATAATTGTAAAATGCTTAAATGTAATATTACTTAGATTACATGAGTACTAACAACAAAATTGTTTTGTAACATCTTTATATGTTGAATTACAGCATTATTAATTACATTATTAGTAATTGAGCAGACTTTTTTTTTTATTTTCCTGCTTCTTTTCCTTTAATTACTACTTCATTCTCAAAAAAGTTAATGATAAATTTAAAGGTTCACAAATACTAATTAGCACAATATTAGCACAAAGCTAAAATACTTAAAAATTTGATAAAATCAGCAACTGCAAAAACACCAGTAGTGATGACAACAGAGCATGCTTGTAGTGCATAGAGATTAAACCACGTGATGTGAAATGTACAGGTAGTACCCAGGTTACATTCAACTTATGGACAATTCCTACTTGCCCTTTAATTTTGTGTAAATTTGTCCTCACTTTGAGATGACTGAACCAACCCCCACCAGAAAACAAATTCTCATCACAATCACCTTCATTTGCTACTTTTAAATGACTGAAAAGTCTTCAAGTGTTTTCTTGCACTAAAAACCCACTGACATCAAGTTGATTCTGACTCATAGGGACTCTATAGGACGGAGTAGAATTGCCCCACAGGAATTCCAAGGCTGTAATCTTTACGAAGCAGACCGCCACATATTTCTACCTTGGAGGAGCTGGTGGGTTCGAACCGCTGACCTTTGTTTAGCTGCTGAGTGATTTAACCACTGAGCCACCAGTAAGGCTAAATAAGAACCATATGCACTGTTATGATTCACTTACAAATCCAACTTAAAGACTTAAAGACACAGGAACAGATCTCATTCATAATCCAAAGACTGACTTTAATTGGGTAGTAACGACAGCTATGACTAGCGCCAATCAGAAGGTTAATAAAGTAAATTAGCATTGAGTTTTAGCCTTGTAGGTCTATTGATACATGATGAAAATATCCCTAACTACAGGGATATTTTTATAAAAAATAATAAATTTCTGCTGAAACACTGCACAAAAATCTTGTAGACATTTTGGTGTCACCCCCTCTGACGATGTCACTCGGTGCGGTCCGCCCACACCGTATCTTTCCAGTGACGTCACTAGGTGGTACTCGATGACCCTTGTGATCTCAAAAATTCTGAGACATCGGGCCCCAGTAAGCTAGGCCATGAATCATGGCTGCCCTCTAGTGGTCTCAACTGAGAACACTAAGAGGTTAAAGGCTTCCCTGCGAATCACTTGTCTCGTAAATTCCAGTGGCTCCTGGGAAAACGAAAGCAGCCAATGTCAATGCTATGTGCTTCCAAGATGGGCTTTACTTTGGAGGACTTTCCCTGCTTCACATCGTCCAAGGACAAGAAAAAAGTAGTCAAGAAGAAAAAATTCAAAGGCAAAACTTTCCAACACGAATGCGTCAATATCCTGTTAGTTGCCCATGTGCGCGCTTGCTCCCTCCCACTCTTTCTCTTAATTAAAGCACTGCGCCTACTGCAATTTACCATTTTTGCTTCTTATCTGTAGTTTGTACTCCACCTTCTCTTGTCTTCTTGGGACCTTCATCTGTCCCGCATTTCCTAGCTCTTCCTCTCCACTGAACCCTTCTTATTATATTTAAAGAGTTTTCAACGCCTCAGGTCCCACCCAGCTCACCCTGTTCTCTCCCTGCCTACATTTGCTGGCGCCATTCGCCACCCTCCTACACATATCTGGTCCTCTGCATCCCCTCCCTCTTGGACTGCTCCTTCCTTGGCTTCTTGCCTCTCATGTTTCCTCCAACGGTTCTTTCTCTCTCTCCTTTTCTGGCTTTTCCCTTCTGATCCTTTCTTAAATGTTGGGTTCTGCCCTCAGCCATTCTGACATTTCCTTCTTCCTCACCCTTATAGACAACCAAGCACCAAGGCCCAGGGGTTCTCATTCCCCAAATATTTCTTCCCATACCCCCACTCCCACCCCCTGCTCCATCCACTTCTCTCCTGTCACCACCTGTCCTGGGCATCTCTCACCTGGATTACTACCAGCTTTCTAACTTACTTCTCTGAGTTCCACCTTGGCCACCTCTATTCCCCACACTGTAGTCTGAGTCATTTTCCCCACAACGTCATTTAAAACAGCTTCAGTGGCTCCCCATTGCTCTTGCAATAAATTCAGTAATGGCTTCTCCTGACTGGCCCCCACTCACTTCTCTAGCTAGTTCTCTCATCAAGCTCTGGAAAAATTCTTTCTTTTCCTTGAATGAGAATGTCTGTCTCTTGCCTCCAGACCTTTGCCCTTATGATTTCTCCTGCAGGGAACATTCTTTCACCCTCTTGGTTTGGCTAACTTTGGTTCTTTCTTCAGTCCTTCAGATGTCAATAGGCTTTTTTGTACACTATTTCACCATCATGACTTTAACGAGGTCACTCATGACCTTCACCTGGCTAACACACCGCTCAATTCCAGTTCAGTCCTCATCATATCTGATCGCTCCTCCCTGGTGACACTGTCTTCACGTGGCTCCCAGGAGCCCACTCTGTGCTTTTCTAGTCTGTTCTAGTCTGTCACATGCAGATATAATTAAGGAATTTGAGAAGGGGAGATTATCCTGGATTATCTTGGCCCTGTCATGGATTGAACTATGTCCCCCCAAGATTTGTGTCAACTTAGCAGGGCCATGATTCTCAGTGGTTTAGAAGTTATGTAATGATGTAATGTGGCAGATATGTAATGATACCCCATGATATGATCAGATGTAATATGCCAACCAGATGTAAGAAAGGCAAGACTGCATTGGCCACCTTGGCCTGTTTCTCTTCATCCTTATGACACTGGATTCTGGGTTATCTCTTTTCTATTCGCATTCACTCTCTTCGTGACTTCACTGAGTCTCATGGCTTTGAATATCTTCTGTGCTGATGATTTTTGCATTTCCCTTTCCACCATGGACCTCTCCCCTAACTCCAGCTTCAAATGCTTCTCAACATCTTCACCTGGACATCCCTCAGGCATCTCAGGTTTCCTTCAGCACCTCCTCCTCCAAAGTCTTCCCCACTCCAATTAATGGCAACTTCACCCTTCCAAGGTTTTCAGGCCAAACACCCTGAGGTCTTCCTTGGCCCTTTTCTGGCTTTATTTCCCCCTCACTTACTCGGCTCCAGTCACCTTTATCTGAAAACAGGCCAGGTGTGGTACCACCTCTGTTATAACATCCCCAGAGAGCCACATGGTTCGTTCCCAACCTCCAACAGGTCTTTACACGAAAGTTACCTTCTCAATGAGTGTGGGAGGCTGAATAATGGCCCCCAAAGATATCCACATCCTAGTTCCAGGAAGCTGTGAATATTACCTTATATAGCAATCTGCTTCCATGAAGATTACAGCCTAGAAAACTCTGGGGGCAGGTCTAGTCTGTCACATGCAGATATGATTAAGTTAGGGAACTTGAGATGGGGAGATTATCATGGATTATCCTGGCCCTGCATGGATTAAATTGTGCTCCCCTCCCCCAGAATTTGTGTTAACTTGGCTGAGCCATGATTCCCAGTGGTTTAGAAGTTATGTAATGATGTAATGTGGCAGATATGTAATGATACCCCATGATGTGATCTGATGTAATAAGCCAATCAGATGTAAAAGGATTAAGATTAAGCATAGGTTGCAACACCCTTAGTCCCTGGGATGTGGTCTGCAACAACTTTTATCTTACAAGAGGTAAAAAGAAGGGGGGGGGGAACACCAAGAAAGAGGAGCCAAGAGTGGAGTGCATTCTTTGGTCCAGGGTCCCTGTGCTGGGATCCTCCTAAGAACAAGAGACACAGTGTGAAAGTCTCCCAAGAGCTGGGACTCCAAACTGGGGCTTCTAGCCTCCTAAACTGTTAAGAGAATAAATTTCTTTTTGTTAAAGCCATCCACTTGTGGTATTTCTGTTATAGCAGCACTAGAGAAGGTAGGCTATAAATGCAACCACAAATGCATTTATAAGCGGGAGGCAAAAGGAGAAGACACAGAAGAAGGTGGCTACGTGACCACTGACATAAGATGTTATGCTGGTGCCTTTGAAGATGGAAGAAAGGGACACCAGCCAAAAGACACAAGGAATACAGCTGTAGAAGCTGGGAAAGGCAAGGAATAGATTCTTCCCTAGAGCCTCCAGAGGAAGTGTAGCCTTGCCCACACCTTGATTTTAGTTTTGAATAACTAATTTTGGATTTCTGATTTCTGCAACTTTAAGTCAATGTGTGTTGTTTTAAACCACCGTATCTGTGGTACTATGTTACAGCAGTGATTGGAAATGAACACAGTGAAGTCTACTTTCTAAAATTAGATCCTTTTTCCCCAGTACCCTTCCCTGCTTGATTTTCTCCTTAAGGTTGTTGTTGGGTGCCAATGAGTCAACCCCATGTGACAGAGTAGAACTGCCCTGTAGCACTGTCCAGGCTGTAATCTTTATGGAAGCAGATTCCCAGGTTTTTCTCTTGTGGAGCTGCTGGGTGGGTTCAAACTGCCAACCCTTTGACCAGAAACTATTGCACCGCCAAGGCTCCTTTCTCCTTAATACATATCAGCATCTAATATACTCTAAATTTTACTCGTTTGTTGTCATCCCACCACCACTCCACCATATGCACACTTCAGCTCCATGATGGCAGGGACGTTAGTGTGGTTTGTTTCCTGCTGTACCCAAGCGATGAAGACGCTGCTTGACAGAGCACAGGTGCTCTGTATCTGCAAAGTGAGCAACGTACCTTTCTCCTGGGCTTTCTCCCCATACAGAGACCTTGACTCCATATCCTTTAGAGTGAGTTCCTTTTCATCCATTCAATCCACAAATTGTTTGTAAATTCAAATGTCTAAGGAGACTTGGAAGGTAATGTACTAAGACTGGAGCACTGGTGGTCAGTGCCTCTGAGGTATGGAGTGAGTGTGGGCTGTGGGCTTGAACTGTCAGGAAAGGGTGGTGCATGCCTTGTCCACAGGCTGTGGCCACCACCTCAACCCCAGCAGGCCCTCCCCAAACCAAAATGTGGGCCCAAAGATGCCATTTTCCAATATGAAGCCTCCCAATTTTTAAATGTTTACCTTATTTAAAAATATCATGCAGAAAAAAACAAAGCACCATTTGCTATTTAAATAACAGTGCTGCTTCCCAGGGCTCTGTCCTCAGCGCTTTTCTTCCACAATTTCCCAAAGCCTCTGCTTCTACATGGTTTCAACTGTTTTCCATACACATGGATGAATTCCAAGCTAACCCTTAAGCTCCAGAACAATACATTCAACGACCTACTGGAGGTCTTCTGCCGGATGTGCCAGAGGATGTCCAAGTCAAAATGTCTCAGGAATGAAGTCAGCCCTGAAGCTAACCTAACCCTCCTATAATCCCTATCTTTGTAAATGGCTGTTTACCCCAACTTCCCGGCCAGAAATCTCAACTCCTTTCTCTGCCTAATCCTTCACGTCTAATCAATGTTACAAAATCCTCAAGATTCTAACCAGCTTCCCACTATTTCTCATATCTACCATGTCATGGATTGAAATGTGTCCCTCAGAAAGGTATGTTGAAGTCTTAACTCCTGTAGCATTATATGTGACCTTGTTTGAGGAGACAGGGCTTTTCTTTGCGATGTGATCAGCGAATTAAACTAGGTCATAGCAGAGTAGGGTTGGTCCCAATCCCTTCTGAGTTGGATTTTATAGAAAAGAACAGGCACAGAAATAGAGTCACAGACAGGAAGGTAAGCCAAAGAGCACCTGGGGCTACTGAAGATGAAAGAGACAAGAGAGGAACACACAGAGAGCACAGCCCTGCTTACCTTCTGAATTTGGACTGCTAGCCTCCAGAACTGTGAGAAAATGAATTTCTGTTCTTCAAAGCCACCTACCTTGTGGTATTTCATTATGGCAGCCCTAGCAAATCAAGACATACCCCTCATACCAACTGCCTGTGCCTGGTTGCCGGAAACCATCCTCTTTTACCCGGAGCACTACGTTGACCTCGTGCTTCCTCTCTACTCCACACGCCACTATAGTAGATAGAATGCTCTTTCTATCACAGTTCTAATCATTCCACCCTCCTTTCCTGTGCAATAATTCAAAAAAGCATGTTCTGTGTTAACACTGGTTCCAGAGATACTACTGATGTTACTTGATAAGAGTTTTACGATGCCACAACCCCCTGGGTGACAAAACGGTTTGTTTGACCATTAATCTAAAGGTTGGCAGTTGGAATCCAGCCAGCCAGTGGCACTACAGAAGAAAGGTCTGGCCGTCTGCTGTAAACATTACAGCCAGGAAAACACCCCGTGGCGCAGTTCTACTCTAGCACATGGGATTGCTATCGACCAGAATTGACTGGAGGGCAACAGAGTTTTTTGTTTTTTGTTTTTGAATGACACAAGTTTAGAACAAAGAGTTTAACTTTAACCATAGCTATTTCTTTCCTCCCCTACAGGACTTCTCAGAGCCCTTCTTGCACTAATATATATCCTGACTCTCTAAAAGGGGGAAATAGTTTCCCAAACTAATTTGGCCATGGAATTCTTTTCATGGGTCAGCACAAAGTATTAGTGTTTCACCATAAGTAGTATGGCTTCAATAGCCTTCCACTATCTATAGGACACAACTCAAATTCCTCAGCATAGATTGAGAACCAGGACTGTGAAGCCAGATGTCTAGGTTCAAATTACAGCTATGTCACTTGCTTAGCCCTATAACATGGAGCAGATCATTTTCCCCCATGCCTTTAATTCTTTATCTGTAACATGAAAATAGTGATACAGTATATAGGGCTGTTGTAGCAATTAGTTAGTAGTACAGGTAAAGTGTGTGGCACAGTGCCTGACATATGCAGTGCCCAGTAAGTGTGGGCTATTTTCTTGTTCCTGGTCTTCCACCATCTGCCTTTCCATCTTCAGCTCCTCCTACCTACCTTTTACATCCTGGAGTTACAAGTTCATTTTCTCATTTTCATCTAGGACTCTGGTGCTATTCTTCTTTCTGCCAGAAATTCGTGTGTTTAGTTTCTCTCCCTTCCCATTCACCTAAACTGTTAACTCAAATTTTCTGTGTTTTCTTAGGCTGACTTGTGCACCTGCACACTTAACAAATTTATCAGGCAGCTATTGAGCCTCAGGCATTTCTGGAGGGGGGTACCAGTCATGTTATAAAGTGTATATGCACCTCCTAAACCGGCCTGGGGAGTCTGGCATTTCTCATGTTTGTCCTTCTGGTCTACACCCTTTTACCATATGCTCTGTACAGGACCGTTTTACAACAGCCCCCATCAACCGATTTCGCAAAGATTTTCAACTGCTCCAGAGCCCTGCAGCTTTGTATGCCCAGCACCCAAAGTCATTTCTAGCACATAATAAAGAAGGTGACGCAGTGCCCAAGGCATTTGACTGCTAACTGCTAACCAGAAGGTTGGCGGTTCAAACCTACCAGCTGCTCTGCGGAAGGAAGACTGGGCAAGCTACTTGTGTAAAGATTTATCACCTCGGAAAACCTACGGGGGTCGCTATGAGCACCCAATATACACCCAAAGGATATGTGATGACTGAATAAATTAATTTGTTTCGGTCACTGTGCCAACTGCTTAACAGCCTGCGATGACGTGGGGGCAAGTTACTGTCCCGTCTGGGCCTTTATTTCCTCAACCGCAGGACAAGCAGAGAACACCTGCCTCCTCGCGCTATGCAAAGCCACACCGCACACTCTGTGATAACGCTATCCAGCCCAGCGCAAGGCCCAGGTACGAAGCGCGCGAGCATTGCGGGACCCCCAAATTCTTCCAAGTAAACAGGAGAATGCCCGCTCACACCCAGGGGGGCTGCGGTGGGCACGGCAGGATTCTCTGGTCCCCTGCCCGCCCGCCCGCCGGGCCCGCACTCACGAGGCACTCTGCAGTTGCTTCAGCAAGTGCGCGACCCGTGCCCTGCCTGCGGCGGCCATGGCTGCACCAAAGCACCTCCCCGAGGCCTCGCCCCCTAAGCACGCCTTCCTAGTGGGCCAATCGTGGGCCAGCCTCTTATTTTACGCCCCCTCCCGCAGGCCAATCCCCAGCCTCGCCGCTCTCCTCCTCCCGCCCACTGCCCAAGCTTTAGCCCCCTCTGAGGTTCAAAACTATTTTCCCAAAAGCAGTTAAAACTACAATTGCTGTAGTTAAGTCTCACCACAGTTTTGAAATTGCCATAGAAGAAAACTGCTCTGTAAGTCTTAGTACTTCGGAAAGCATATTTAAAATCATGTTTTTCACAAGTTGCAGACTTGGGGAAAGGAGGATGAACAGGGTCTATTCTCTTCTTCCACTCTGAATCCGTTAAAATGCTACTTTGCCTTCTTTGCAGATACTGAATTTAAACTGTTTTAACAGTAAACCAAAACCTTTAAAAAACCCCAAGAGACCTATTTTTACAGGGCCAGTGTTAGAATCACATTGCTAAATCAAAAAAGCTGAAACCACCACCTGAAAAAAACCCTCACAGTTGGGAAAAATTTAAAAGACGTTCAGCAAATATTGTGAACTGCTTATTATTATTATTATTTTTTTTAATGTCGTTCATGGTACATTACATGGTTTGATTAATTTCGTCTTCGCTAAAACTTCCCATAATCACTCTATTCTGAGAGGGCTTAACGCCATTTTCAGCATATCTCAGGGAACAAGCTGACTCAAGATGGCAAACAGAAAACTCCAACTTTAATCATAAAGTATCTGAAGACAATGGCATTTGAATGTCTTTTTTCATCTCAATGACATTTCTAAAAGTAATTTTGTAAGAGGTTAACACCGGAAAAGTCAAAGCTAAAAAAGGGCCCTTGGGTTTTAGTTCGATTGTGAATTCTTTTCAGATCTTTACTGGGGAAAGTGATGGGACAGGAAAGTACTCGAGGACAGCTAAAAACATTTTACCTAATGAATCGATCACCGCCAGCAGTCCTGAAGAAGTCAACTCTGACTCATGGCAACACTCTCCCCCACTACCGGTGTTAGAACAGAACTGCTTGCCACAGGGTTTTCAACAGATGATCTTTCTTAAGCAGATGGCCAGGCCTTTCTTCTGAGGTGTCTCTGGGTGGACTCCAAACTCTAACCTTCTGGTACAGCCATGGACTCAAGTCAATTTGACAGACAAGCCAAAAGATAATGATCCAAATAAAGATTTTGTAGGTCTTCCTCTGGTCCCTTACTTAACATCAACCTTAGAAAAACAAAAAAACTGGGGACATAAATATCCAGAAAGAGGTAGATATTTTCTGGATTAACGAGGATCATTACTATTACTTATTGTGGCCCAAATTTATCACTCACAGCAAACCGTTGTTTTCAAGATGTTAAAAAGCAAAGCATGTTTTTCAAACAGATATATGTTGTACTAAAAGAAAAAAAACCTCACTGCCGTGGAGTTGATCCTCATAGTGACCCCATATCTCTATGTAAGTAGATTGCCCAGTCTGCCTTCCTAGGAGTGGCTGGTGGGTTTGAACTGCCAGCCTTCTGGTTAGCAGTGAAATGCCTTAGGCACTATGCCACCAGATGGCCTTATGTTGTACTATACCTTCAAATATTTGATTAGAAGTATTAGTTTTTCTAACTAAAGTGGTCTGAAACCATTGTAATACAGGAGCTTTACATCTACTTCCCTACTGATACAGCCTTGGAAACCCAAGGAGGGGTTGCTATGAGTCAGGTCCGACTTGACGGCACATAACAATAACAACAACAACAACATACGTGACCCAGGTCACAGGTTCCACTTCATTTCCACCAAAAGTAAAAAAGTTAAAAACAACACGGGAAACGGACACAGCTTTATTAAATAACCTTTACATTTGTTAAAGTCCAGTTCTGAAAATGTTGTAATCTTTCCTCCCCCCCTGCTCTGATGAATACACAAGCCTGCTATAAAAATAATGGAAAAATGAACAAATCGATAAGTCTCTGCTCTATGACCAGTTCTCCCTTGTCCCATATCCAAAACTGAAAAGAAAAAGTTAGGCTGTTTTAGACTTGTTCCCATTTTCCATCAAATTCTTTCCCTAATTCTTATGCCTTCAAACACATCCTTTAAACTCCAGCTAAAGCCTCGGTGGTGGAAAAACATTTTTCTACAGTCCAACACTTAAATACTCTCTTGAGGGGAGGGCAACCCTGTCCCTTCAACCTCAAGTTCACTAAACGCAGCTGCCGCTTTCTTAACTAGAACTTAAGGTTTAACATACAGTTCTTGATTTAGAATGAAGTCAAGGGTGAAACTTACTTCCTCCTCTTTCCTCCTCGGTGCTGCCCTCCTTTCCTTTTGCCACCCAGGCCAGGCGGCCCGGAATTCATCTTGCTCCCCAAGCCCCCTTTTTTCTTTCCTCCCCGGTTGGGCGGGCCCCCTTTCCTTTTGCCCCCAGGATCCTGCCGCGCCCCCTTTCTCTTGCTCTTCTGGCTCATTTTTCTTCTCTTGGCAGCCTCCTCCTGGTCCTCTTCCCTCATCTGCTTATTGGTGGCCCTCGTCACGTCCAGCTGAGGCTTTCTGCTGTTCATGATTCGTAGCAGCTCCAACTGGTTCTTCTTTTCGGCTGCAAAGTCCCCGAAGAGCGGCTGAAACTTCCTCTTCTTGCCGGAGCCCCGAGGCGCCTTCTCTTTGGGCAGGCGCTCCTGGAATCGTCCCACAGAAGCGGTGGAGACTTTGGCTACCTGCATGGCGCGACCCAGTTCCTCCTTGCTCTGGTGTCCAGTAGGGCGCATGCCAGCCGCACTGGGCAACTGCATCTTGTGTGCACGGGCCAGATTACGCAGCCGGTTCAGTTCGTTCTTGGCCACCCGTTCCTTCTTGGCCTGAATCCGCTTGGCGAACTGGTCCTCCAAGGGGTCGGCGCTGCCGGGCACCTCGATCAGCCATTCCTTGGTGTCGTCCCGGGCGCGCTGGTAGCCCCAGCGACGTCGCCACTGTCCGCTTACCTCGTCCCACAGCAGATTGGTCTTCTTCTTGGGTCGGATACCTTTGAGGCGCGCGAACTGCTGCCAGCGCGTAAGCGGCCGCGGCCGGGGCACCGGCTTCTCGCGTGGCAGGCGGGTGGTGGGCTCTGGTAGCCTTGCCACTACTGCCTCCTCCACGCGCTCGGTAGGCAGCTGCCACAGCTGGTTGATGAGGAGCTGCGTGTTGTCTCGTGCCAGACTCCGCAGCTCGGCCTCCAGTGTGGGTCCAGCGCACCGCAGCCCCGTTGGAGGGTTCCGGTCCAAGGCCAGCAAGTTGCCTAGATCGAACTCCAGTTCCAGTTCCTTATGGACCGTGATACGCTGCAGCTTTTCTGCCTCGTCCCGCTCCACCTTTGCAAGCAGCTCCTCCACGCCCTGACTCTCCATGGCTCGGGCTCGGCTCACTAGCTCTGGGGTTGCGGCTCAACTTATCTGCCAGCGCCGCTTCAAGCCGGGCAACACAACCACGTGCAAAAGCCAAGACGCTCAGCCCGGAAAAGAAAGGTTCACTTCCGGAGCACCCGGAACTGGCTCGTGGTCTGGGTGACCTTTTCCCCAAAAGCCGGCAGAGGGCGGTGTTGGAGAGTTTATGGTATTAGCAGCCAGTCCTTTTGGCTCACGCCCGGATGTAGGCGGGGCTGGTGGAAGAGGCTCGGACTACAAATTTCAGAGCCTGATTGGGACTGCACTGGGTTAAGGAGCTCTGGTAGCATAGTGCCTAAGGCACTTGACTGCTCACCAGAAGGCTGGCGGTTCAAACCCACCAGCCACTCCTCGGAAGTGAAGGTTGGGCAATCCTACTTCCGTAGTGATACTGCCTCGGAAACCCAAGGAGGGGTCGCTATGAGTCGGGGCCGACTGGACGGCACATAACAACAACAAGATGGAGATTGATAATAGTACTTACCACCTGGGACTGCTATAATGCTAAATGAGCTAATATGCCTCAAGGGAGGCCCTGAAATATAGGAGTGCTTAATGAATGTTAGCCTGATATGATTAATCGTACAGGTCTGCGCGGTAAATTGTTGAAGGAAAAACAAAAACAACAACAAAAAACCTCACTGCCATCGAGTCAATTGTGACTCATCGTGACCTCTCCTTGGTTTTCTGAGGAGGTATCTATACTAATGTAGATTGCCCAAGATCCCTACCAGGAGTGGCGCTGGTGGGTTTGAACCGCCAGCTTTCTAGGCGGTGTTATACAGTGGTTAAGCACCAGGTTCTTGAGTCAAACCTAGGATTAAATATGGGTTTCCCTTTACTGTACAGGAGCTCTGGTGGCATAGTACCTAAGGCAAACGAAGTATTTAACCTGAAATTGTAACACTTGTACCCCCTTAGCTGGCACACCCTTTGGATCTGTGGCCTTAACAGAAGACTGGCAGTTCAAACCCACCAGCCACTCCTCGAAGGTAGGTTGGGCAATCTACTTCTGTAGTGATATCACCGGAAACCCCAGCAGGGATTGCTGTGAGTTGGATCTGACTTGACGGCAGTGTGTTGCTTTAATGCACACATCTTAGGTTGCTTAACCTCTGTGAGGCTTGTTAAAAAAAAAAAAAAAATACACTTCCCTGGAATGGATTTCGACTCAAAGCAACCCCTCCCAATCTTCCTTCCGAGGAGTGGCCGGTGGATATGAACCCCAGCCTTCTGGTTAGCAGTCAAATCCCTTAGGCCCTACGTGCTGTCTAGTAGGTTCTGACTCATCTTGACCCCACATATATCATAGAACTAAATGTTGCTTGTTCCTGTATCATCCTCATAATAATAAGTATGTTTGAGCACCTTGTTTCAGCCAGTGTGTCAATTGAATCTTATTGAGGGTCTCCTTTTCTGTTGACCATATACTTTACTATGCATGATGTCTCTAAGCCTAACTCATCTGGAAAATGAGGTTATCACAGGGTTGTAAAAAGGGTCAAATAAGAACCCTTTAAAAAACATGAAACCTTAGTTCCTGGTACATACTAAACTCTCAGTACATTGTACTATTGTTATTAACTAGATTCCACTTATGAAAAAGGAAGACTCAGGTGAAATGATTTGTCTGATGTTACATACCTAGGAAATGTCGAAGCAGGAAGTATCTTAACCCTGGTTTTAAGATTACATTCATATTCTCTGCAATGTCTTCCAAGCTCATGATGTCAAAAGGCTGATCAGCAGTATAGCATCACTGGGTTGTTGTTGTTGTTGTTGTTATTATGTGCCGTCAAGTCATCTCTGACTCATAGTGACCTTATGTACAACAGAATGAAACACTGCCTGGTCCTGTGCCAGCCTCACAGTCTTTACACCTGAGCCCATCGTTGTAGCCACTGTGTCAGTCCATCTGGTTGAGGGCCCTACCTTTTTCCATTGACCCTCCACTTTACCAAGCATGACATCCTTCTCCAGAGAATGGTCTCTTCTGACAACATGACCAAAGTAGGTGAGATGAAGTCTGGCCATTCTTGCTTCCAAGGAGCATTTCAGCTGCACTTTCTCCAGGACAGATCTGTTAGTTCTTTTAGCAGTCCAGGGTACTTTCGGCATTCTTCACCAGCACCACAACTCAAAAGCATCAACTCTTCTTCCATCTTCCTTATTCATTGTCCAGCTCTCACATGCATATGAGGCTATTGAAAATACCATAGCTTGGGTTAGGTGCATCTTAGTCCTTGAAGGAGACATCTTTGCTCTTCAGCACTTGAAAGAGGTCTTTTGCAACAGATTTGCCCAATGCAATACCTCTTTTGATGTCTTGACTGCTGCTTCCATTGGTGTTGATTGTAGAACCAAGTAATATGAAGTCTTTGACAACAACTTCAATCATTTCTCCATCTATTGTGAGGTTGCTTATTGGTCAAGTTGTGAGGATTTTTGGTTTCTTTACATTGAGGTGTAATCCATACTGCAGACTGTGGTCTTTAATCTTCATCAGTAAGTGGTCCAAGTCATCTCAGGTTGTTAATGAGCCTTCCCCCAATGGTGATGTCACATTCCTCTTCATATAGTCCAGCTTCTTGGATTATTTGCCATCACCTGGAAGGTTGTCAGAAATATGGACTCTCAGGCCTTACTCCAGATGGACTGAATCAGAATCTTTATTTTAACAAGATTTCTAGGTGATTAGTATATACATCTAAGATTGAGAGGTACTTCTGATTGTGTGACCTCCTGGATTTATTTTTACTTAACTTGGGTTTAGGGGCTGTGTTAGGTTGGATTCTCTAGAGAAGCAAAACAAGTAAAGCTTATAGAGAGAGAGACAGAGAGTGAGAGTGAGAGCAAGACTGAGAAATTTATCTTAGGAAAATGGCTTACACACTTGTAGAAGCTGGCAAGTCCCAAATTCTTGGATCAAACATCAAGCTAGAGGCTTTTGCTGACTCACACAGCTGCAGGGGCTGATGAGCTCAAGTTTGGCAGGAAGTATACTGGCTGACTCCAACGAATGATGAATCCAAGATCACCAGACCGAATGGTGGATTGCTAATGGCCAGTTGTAGGCAGCACAACAGGATCCTGATCCACAGAAGAGTGTCTCATTTTCCCAGGATGTCCATAAATATATTGGAAGCAGGCCACACCCCTAGGGAAACTCCCCTTCAATGGATTGGCTGCTCAAAACATATATATCCGATCTCATCATGGGAATAACCCACATCACAACTGCTTAAACCACTCAGAACTGTGTTCCAGCCAAGTTAACACATACAACTCCAACTATCATGGTCCACTGCTTTTCAACTTGGCAGTTGTACACATCTTAACCATATACAATCTCTAAATAAGGACAATTATAAAGTCATATTTGCACCTAATATGATACATTAACACATGTACAACCAAAACGTGTTAACCCTGTTTACATTTCATAGTTTGTAACAGAAGGAAACAAAAACATTTGATGCACATATGCAAATGAAGAAATATAATAATCACAGTGCTCATTTCTGCAACTGGTCATATGGTCATAGCTGATATTCAGAACTACCTTCTTCCACCACCCATTCTGTATTTCCCTTGCCCTGGGCAAGCACCTCAGCTGGTCGTGGTTTTTTGCCTGGTGGGGTGACTCAAACCTTCATTCCTGAAGGGTCTAGGCCATTAGTAGTCATATCAGAATTGGGTTGCTGTAATTTTCCAATGACTTTAATCACAGGGCATGATAGTACTAAGAGACATTCTAAAGAATCTCCTGTATTCCAGACATAATTTTCTTTACCTCCATTATGTAATGTCAATCAAATTTCCCCTTGGTAATCAGGATCTATCACACCAGACAGTATAGTAACACCTTTTTTTTTTGTTGATCCAGAGGCATGAGGAAGCCAAAATGGCCGGGTGGCATTCTTAACTTCCAGTTCAACACAATCAGTATTGTGTTTCCAGGTGAGCGTGTTCCTCCTTTTGGGACTAAGATCTCCAGACCTGCAGAGCATAGGGTAGCAGAGACAGGAAGCAAAAATTTTTTGAGTGTGTCACTAGGGGTAATAGTGAGTGGCACCACTCCTGTTTCCACCCCTTGGTTCCTGGACCCATGAATCCTAGCTATTGAAGAAACAGCACCGTATATTGGATGCTGGTTTGGAGCCATATACAGCCTCCTGGAGAACACTGCCCCAGCCCTTCAAGGTACTGCCACATAGCTGGCACCATAATTATGTTTTTAATAGGCCATTCCATCATTCTATCAGGCCAGCTGTTTCAGGATGATGGGGAACACGGTAATACCAATGGATTCCATGAGCAAGGCCCATTGCCATACTTCATTTGCTGTGAAGTGAGTCCCTTGATCTGAGGCAGTGTTGTGTGGAATACCATGACAGTGGATAAAGCATGCTGTAAGTCCATGGATTGTCAGGACCATTGCATGAAGGGAAGACAAATCCATATCCAGAATGTATCTATTCCAGTAAGAAAAAAATGCTGTCCTTTCCATGATGGAAGTGGTCCAATGTAATCAACTTGCCACCAGGTTGCTGGCTGATCACCCTGAGGAATGGTCCCATATTGTGGACTCAGTGTTGGTCTCTGCTGCTGGCAGATTGGACACTCAGCAGTGGCAGTAGCCAAATCAGCCTTGGTAAGTGGAAGTCCTTGTTGCTAAGCCCATGCATAACCTCCATCCCTGCCACCATGGCCACTTCATTCATGAGCCTATTGAGCAATGACAGGAGTTGTTATGTTCCATTGAGTCGGACTCGACTCATGGCGACTCCTCCTTGGGTTTCTGAGGCAATATCACTGCAGAAGTTGATTGCCCAAACTTCCTTCTGAGGAGTGGATGGTGGGTGTGTACTACCAGCCTTCTGGTTAGCAGTCAAATGCCTTAGGCACTATGCTACCAGAGCTCCCATGACAGAGGTAGCTGGAGAAAAAGATGACTGGTTTCCACTGAACATGTCATCCTATCC